GGGGGGGGGGGGGGGGGAGGGGGGGTCATTTGTTGCTTACATTGCCGTATTACACGAAGCCATATTCCCATCCAGAGGCAGAATCAATCCTTCTCCTGCTTACAGGCGTCGTCTACATTCTGGCCTCGTTTGGCCTTTCTCTCGTGGTATCTCAGAAGAAGTGGAAAATGTGGCCTTGTGCCTCGTGTCCACACCTTTCGCATTCTTGTACCTCGTCTGGTTTTGTGTCGGTGCATGTGTGAGTGGAAGGAGGGGTCGAACAGGGTTCCCCCAATATGCCATGATGCAACTGTCATGTTCACTATCTACCCTTTGTTTGGGCCATCAAAATAACCGGGCATGTTCTCAACATCCTCCTCTACACCTCCCCAGCATAACAATCATATCAGTACACAACATGTCAAATTAAGTGTCTTTTGAGGCTATACACTACAGGGGAGATATCTCTGTATGCTTATCGGGGAACCGTAGAAATACGGGTTGGTCACCGTACAACACTATGAATCCATTGCCGGTCTGCCACGGACTCTTTATTTACCTGTCGAAGAGATGGATCGCTTGTGCTCTTGGTTGCAAGAAATATTAACAAAAACGGACTAACACAGCAAATAAAAAAAACAACACTATATCCGATGCATGCAGGCAGATGGGTAAGGCTTCGGGGAATCACCATTAATAGGCTCTCATCAGCACAAAGGCAGAAGCCAGTGCCGAAGGATTCGGGTGGGAATAGCAACTGCGGGGGAAAGGGGGGTACGTGTGAGACGTACTTGTAGTGTAGACGCCGTTCGTAGAGCAGACAATGTTGCACCACCGCAATATGTACAACAAGGCCGTAAAGTATGCTAAAGCACTGGCTGTTGCATGGGGAACGTGGGGAGATACCGTATAAATGACACAAGATAACACCCCCCCCTGAACCGAGTTTCAAATCCCGATTTCTCAAAAACAGATAGAGTCACAGCACCGGAACGATGGCGTTGAAGCTGTCTTGTCCAGAGGTTTCCGAAAATGTAATGTTTATTTAGGCATCCTCTTCGTCATGGCGTAATCGAGCTTTGAAAATGCGTCCAGGGGGTGTGTTATCTTGTGTCATATACAGTCGATCGCTTACCCTAGGGCGGCCGGGATGGATATCTCCCTGCTCCCTCCGACACGCATGCCTTCCACGCCCCTGTCCATGCCCGCGATCACGTTCTTCATGCCTGTCACAGCAAGTGGACAATGTCACCATGCGTGCGATACGGATCGGAAGTTAGCGGCAAGTTTTCTTATTGAGGTAATAATTTGTGGTTGGAGCAAGCGGCACAAATAAACGCTGTGAGCACTGATTTACTGTGAAGACTAAAAAAAAAAAAAGCGAAAAAGGCAGCAGTGGCGCTGTCACCGGTTCAGAAGGTTGCGGCGATTTCGAGAAAGATTATTTGTCTTGCCATGCGTGCGTGGGAAACGACACGGCACCCAAGGCATCGGCGACGCCGTACTCCTGTCCCCGTCCCTCCTCTCATCTGCACTGCCTGGACACACGTACTCTTCATGTACATGGCCACAGTACGCGATATGGTAGGCTATGCAGAGTGCCTACTGGCAAACAACAACAACAACAACAACAACAACAACAGTCAAGCCAGAGAATTTCTTCATAAACGACACGCTGGTAGAAAGGACAAGACCTGGCAAGCCTGGGGACGCTTGGCAAACTAATTTGAAACAATACAGCAAGACAGTTACAGCAATACAGCTGTAGCAGGGCGTTATTGCAGGGTGTCGACGGTTACACCCGTTGCTACGCTACTACCTTAGACTTTTTGTTGCAGCAATGTCAATTGTTCTAAGTCAAAGCCTCTAAATTCTTTCGGGCGCATGGCTTGGTGCGATGGTGGGTTGTTGTTCGGGATCGTCTCCTGCCAGAACCATTGTTTTCGACCGAGCATCATGAGTCAGTTTCACGTCCCCTCCCCTTTGGCGACAAGTCTTGCAACAACACCACCAAAAACAACAGTAGTACCATAAACATCAACAACGGCAGTAACATCACCAACAACAACTAAGAAAAACAACAATAATACCAACACTATGTAACATCACCAACAACAAACAACAACCCCAACATGACCCCAGTTCGTCTCACCGACTCGAAACCGCAGCGGCCGTCGGCGGTTGTCGTTCTTGTCGAACACGCGGCCGTCAGGGAAGCAACCTTCGTAGCAGATCTTCACGTTCTTGCCGGGTACCGCAATCTTGCCCCCCCCGAACATTCTGCGAGCCCCCCCCCCCCAGGCCCCCGCCGAGCGATTGGAACGAAAAAAACGCACCAACAGATGGACCAAAGACAAAAGGAGGTTATGCCTGGCAGATGGCTTGGTTCGATTGCTCATGTTGCTTCGGGGTGCCCGATGCGGGGACGTTCTTCATTCTTCGCCACTTGCATGTTCACGCATGTTCACATCTTACGAAGCCCTCAAGGACAGTGCCAAGCCTGCGGACGAGGAGAGGCGAGCTTGAGGAGACTATATTCTCGGGCGGAGAGAAAAAATATACATACCTAGAAAAATAAAACGTGGACGGCCACGGATGGTGCAGCCCCCATCTCGACCAACCATGCGAAAGAGATAAC